GGTAAAAACAGTAAAATGTATGCTTTATCAGATAATACAAAAACATCAATTCATTGCAACAATGCACCAATGAATGAGTAGTTTCTAATGAGCAAAACTGTAAAAAAAACTGAGAAAACTAAGAAAAAAAAAAACAAAACTGTTTCCATGAAAAATGACGAGTGCGAAAAGTAGTCTTGTAAAAAAAACAAAGAATGCAATGTATTCTTATGGAAAAGCAAAGAACAGTTTGAAAACACAACTTAATAAACCAAAATGAATGCGCTGGGATCTGTTTTGGAAAAATCTTATTAAATCCAAAGGAATTTGCAATGATAAGAGGAGGTCTGAACTCGGTACTGCACGCACACATATTCAAGTGAAACTTTATTTCATCACCTCAAATGCCATAACCGGATAATACGAGTGAAAAATACGAAACAAATACGTACAAGTACAGCAAGATCATTTGATGAGAGTGTCAATGAACAATTAGAAAAGTCACTGAAGATAGGGATGTTTCAAGAGCACAGATTATTAGCAGCACAAAATAAATCAGTCTCGATCGTCACTAGAATCTTAATTTTCGTTTCTTTGGCGTAACTGTGTTCGCTGCTTTCGGCTTTGGGGCTGACGATTTTTCGGCACTTTTCATCTGAATATCACCGGACGCATTTTTCGTTTCATGGTCGTTTTCCTCCGAATCATCTTCGCACTTCACCGATTTTGCAGGGGTTTCTTGCGGAGGTGGAGTAGGAGGTAGTGACGATTCAGACTGATCATCCTTGTCATCGTTATTATCGCTGCTCTCAGTGGGTCGTTTCCGGGATTCCGGTGGAGGTGTGTCCGGGAGTGAACTCGTCGTTTCGGTTGTGTCGTTCAGTTTGCTGGCGACAGCCGAATAGTCCAATGATGAGGTGACGATTTCGTAGAGTTTACGAACTTGTACCTTCGAAAACGCGTCTTTTGGTTGTTTCAACTTGACGTTATCTGAAATATGCTTTTCGAATATGATACGAATTCAAGGAAAAAGAAAAACAATCGCATTCAGAGTAATGACTCCAAAGCAGTAATATACAATAACTGTTCGCTGCTACCTTTCAGAAATTCGAGACGATGTAAATCAGCTGCTAACGATAGCATATCGAGCATTGGGCGAACCACATGCACGTAAAACTGAAACAATTGACTCTATTGATTCAGCACTGAAAATGATCGCTAGTGATTTACCATATAAAAATGAAAAAGAAATCTTATGTTAGCATATCGGTCATTCATCTCGCAAAATACACGCATGACTCATGATGGTGA